TCTCTAATGTTGTAGCTTTAACTTACACATGAGTAGTTGCTTGTCTGTTACTTTGTATGACCAAGAGCGAAACCAACTGTTGGAAGCCTTGAAGTCACGATATTGCTTTCTTTGTGGTAGCTGGATTGCTTTCTTACAAATAATGCTCTCCATCATGGGGAACTCTCCGTGCTTTTCCTTCATAGCAGTTACTTCATTCACTGTCTTGAAGTTTTCGTTGGTTTTCAGGCGGCATCTTTCCTGAGATGCTCCGGTGTTCACAAATTATCCGATAGTCGTTCGATGGGGTGTAAGAGTTTTTCCTGCAAGACCAAGTGATTCGGCTATGGAGCTCTGAGTTGCACTTGACTGATTCAGCATTTCCAACACGTTCTGATCAATAGGCGATTACACATTTGGAAGTCAAATGATATTATTTGATTGTTGGCATCTGTGTGTCTTCCTCGTAAAGATTATCCAATCATCGAACGGTATCATGTTCGTATCACACTAGGTGAACCGCCATTGTCTGAGTGCGACATTGCAGGTTGGCTGGTCAATGCTCATCCCGAACATTGGTCAACGACCAAGTGAGTAGGTATCAGAAACTGCGACGTATTGAGGGGTGCGACATCGCACAGTCAGAAACTACGTTATTACGCATGCGGTTGGTTTGGGTTTTCCAAGAATTGGGAAGATATTAGAAAATGCGACTTCTCAGGGATGCGACAAAGCAGAAGATTGATATGCGTTGTCAGTTTCAGTCAGTTTCACTTATTACTTCATTGAATCATATGCTGAGAGGTACTTACTCATTAAAACTTCCTTTATTCTGATTATCTGCAAACTGAAACGTACTATTTGGATAATCATTTTGTTTATTTGATCAGGTCATACTAGCGTTCCAAAAGAATCCTGGTCGATAGACTATGAGAACATGCAGGTTAGCAAACAAGCTTGTTTTCGGTGCTCAATGGACTAGCTCAATACAGCACGTTTAATAGTAAGCCATACATGTGATGGGAAGATGTATGTGGTTGAGAAAGAATAAAAAAAATAGCATTTAATGATTTAATTGTGATAATCCCATTGTTCGCCCAGAAACTGTAAGGCTGCTGGCCCCACCATGACCAGCCACCTACGATCTAGTGACGTAACCTCCCTCCATAATCTCTCATTCATTCGCAACCACCTATCTGCCACACACACAAACAAACAACACGTTCTAAATTCTTCATTATTTCTCGCCTTATGTTTGCTCTGCTATTTTAAGTCGTCTGATGAATCATCAAAACAAGCTTGTCTGCTACTCTGTGTTCTCATCATCCTACTAACTTGTTTCCCTCCGTAGATTCGTGCCGCAATTATTGGAACAGTTTACTGGTGTGATTAACTCCATTCATTTCAATACTTCATATGCACAATCTAGTCTGCTCCCGAACCACTTACGACACAAACCCATGGTGCAAATATCATTTCCGCAAATGTTTTCTACAAGTTTTGTTTTCATAGTTCCTCTACTCATGAGTAGTAATAAGCAGAGTTCTTTCAACTTTACTGCAATTGGTCTCTTCGGCTGGGAACTAGGGGAAGATCTGATGAGTATATCCTTCATATTTCTTTTAATATTATCAACTTCCCTCCGTGTTTATAGTAGATAGATTTCCATACAACAACAATAAATTTGAACGAATTTTTTTCGGTTGTATCTGTCAACAGTGGCTTGTGCTCTCGCACTAAAACACTCGGAAAACTGATTTGGTGCAATGGTTTTTTTATGTAGCTTCCTCTGTAAATGTGACTGAAAGGAGATATGTTTTGTGTTCTGATTTTTTTCACTGAACTGTCAATGTTTTTTTATCGTGCAGATAATCTTCCACCTGCAAGCTATTACCATCGACCTAATTGCAACAAAAGAAACGAACACCATCATCAGAACTGTTAGTGCAAACATTGAGAGTAGTTCATCCAATGGTTCAACACAGACAAATACAAGACAAATACTTCAAGATGTTGGCGCTTCGTTTGCTATTTTTTGACCAGCGTAAAGCAATCTGAACTTCTTATAACTATGTGTAAATACTATACTATGACTGTGGATGGGAATACGCACACAAAATGAACTGACTTTATGTCCACGGTAATCGATGCGTCTACCGCAAATTCTTCTGGGCACAAAAATTGAACGAATCGTATTTTATCCACGAAAAGTGATCAAAAGATTAGCTCAAACTTGAAACTAGAAGACGCATTGTCTGACCGAACCATTAAAAACAAGGCATCATGTTAGATTTTCGAGACCAATTTTTGTACCTCAGATCCTCGGGAAGCCTAAAGCGTGAACTCACCATCGACGGTTTATTCACTGTCCAAATTTGGTTGAATGTCGTGTACTTGTTCGCTTTTCTTTTGGCATGAAGATCTCGTTTTGTGATAATAGGCCGCTGGGGGCCCATCGTGCACAATGTCCTCTTATATCCGGCTTTATGACTTTTGTTCTTTGACTTTCCGTCCTACACAGCTTTATTCAGTTTGAAAAGACAAATTTGACTTAATTGATCACTTACTTTTTTCATGATTTTGTGTTCAGGATTTACGTTGATCGACGGGTGTTCTTTTGTTTCAGTTTTGAATTAGTAAAATATTGCAGAATGTTCTGAATTGGATCGCAGATGTTAGCGTTAAGCGAGTCAGTACAAACAGAGTATGTGGCTTGAAGGGCACCGACCATTTCATTGTTTATAGTAGTCTATTGTATGATACTCTGTAACATGGGAGAAGAGGACTCCGTAGTCGCAAAGTTTTGCTGTTTGATCATGGGGATGGACAGCATACGACCCCACACCTGGAGTTCCGTATCACTCCCTAGTAGACTGTAAATCATGTATAGAGTGCACTTGACAAGCTCATAACAGTTGTTGCTCTCTTCGGGTTACGCTTCTCCACCGTACAGTTTATTTTCAAGGCAGCACCAACGGCCACAGTTCTTCACCGCAATAGTCGTGAATTGACTGTGGTTTTTGTTTCCCCCACTTAGAGAGTTCTGCAATAAACGGCAATAATACTTCGAAAAAAATGAACACGCATATCGCAGGCTCGAGCAGCAACAGTTGGATGCAGGCGCCTCTGTTGTTCCTGCAATGTTCGCTGTACTTACAAACTGGTGTAGCGTGCCGCGATACGATCAGTTTTGCTTTGAGTATGGCAAGGTCTGAGTTTACTTGTGGGCGACATTCATCAATCGGAGCTTTTGGACCATGTGTGTTTAGATAGTCCAAGCTGGAGTGGGATGAAGTGGGCGGGATAACAACGTTGAGGTGGGGCGTCGCGTGCTCATGGGTGTTTCGGCGAAATATTTGCCGTCGCAACGAATTTATGAGAGTAGACTTTACTGATTAGCAAGCGTAAAGCGCATGTCAGTTATTCGTCCCGCATATCGCACCTCACATGTAGTTGAGATGAAGTTTGAGGAACTTCAAGGACAAATGAGACTTACTCATTCACTGGTTCGTTGACGAAAAATCTCGTGCCGAATTTATGAGAACACTAAATGCCTGTTTCGTTACACAACACTGGATGATGAGCACCATGGTTGTGGTTGTATTTTGGGTTGTGACCGGTTACTCTATCCTTATACCGCGCTAAATGCTCTTATGTGACTGAAACCTTCTTGCCACCCTTACATTGCAGAGGTTTTCTCCAACAAGGTGAGAAAACGAAAAACCAACACCTGGGGCTATAACCGTTTCGGTGATCCATCAGCGGCTCGCCTAAAGTAGTAGTCAAAAAGTTATGACTCCAAACCAATCAAAAAAGAGGCATTCGAACCCCACCTACACCTTTCCGGTTCTAGTGGTGGTCTCTGGCTTCATTGGGCATCAAGGTGTGGCGATCACCTTGGTCATTTTATCCCGTCCAAACTGGATATTCATGGATTGCGGTTATCACACCACCTGTTTACCTTGCGGGTTGTTCCTTGGTTGGCCGAAGGCTTTGGCTGTGAATGTTCCTATGAATTTTCATCTGCTTTTGTCTGAGCAACCTCGAAGTATTCTTCTCACGAACAAAACTTCAAGTGATTTGTGTTAGAAAAAAAATTGTACCGTGATTTGTTTCATGCATATTATGGATTTAAAAAAGTATTTAAGTAACATATATACACATTATTTTAATACTTTTTTGAATCCATAATATCCATGAAATAAATCACGGCAACCTCAGCCGTGGGATTAGTGGTAGGGAACCACCTTAGTCTCAGTAGGATAGGCATGGTACAAACCGGATGAAAGTTAAAGTGCCTACCACCAAAGTCGAGTGACAGCAGCAGCGTTGGACAGGAAGTAAAGCCGTTTGACTATCTGCATTAAGTCTACAGTAGTTGTTTTTGTTGTACTGAAAACACTGGTTTACTTCCTCTCAAAGAGGTTCGCTCTCTAACGCACATTGCATGTTGGTATTTATCATGTAGTTGTCTTGAGTTTGGAAACGATCGGCGATTTTCGCTTTACTGTTTGTTTCTGTGCTATTTGGCTACCACCGAGGAAATCTCGTCTAGCTTCTTGCTGTATGCTTCATGTTTGTCGTTCCTTGCTTCCGGTTCCCATGACAAAGATTACGGATTAGATTAAGCGTAGATTGAATTGTTCTTATCAGCACAGATCTCTCCCAAGCTGTATGATAAAAACCGGTTCTAGGTATTTTTGAATGTTTGGCTTAGTGAATAACAAATTATGCACAAAGTTGACGTAAGGTGTGGAAGCGAAGTACGCTGTATCCCATATCAAAGCTTTGGTGGCCGTAAATTACCGTTTCAAGGAGCCTGCACGGGGTTTACTTATGGAAATTTATTCAGCGAGACTTATTTCGATTTGATATAAAATGCTTCTGGCTAGAAGAAGCTTGCAGAGATACTTGTAACTCGGCTTTTTGTTAATGGTCAAACGGGTTTTTGAGATTGCAAGGTTTGCTTTTTATTACTCCCATCCTTTTTACTTCATCCATCTAATCTTTTATGCCTCCAGATTATGGGTCGTATCACGGATCGTGGTGTATTCCTCGAACAGCTTGAAACTGATCCGTCGAAATACCTGCCAGACCCATCCGAGCGTCATTTGTCGGGTTCCGTAGTCAAAGTCAACCTAAATCGTCCTATGGATCAGGTATTGGCGGAACTGTCGAAACATCCCATACGCACACGATTGTCGTTGACTGGCACGTTGGTGGTGGCCCGTGATATCGCGCATGCAAAAATTAAGGTATGTTTAATATTTCCTGTTTGTCTCGATTTTTTACATTAAGTTTTCATGGGATTCGCAAACTCGATCGTTCAAGTTTTCCATTCCTTTCCAGATAGCACCTTGATGTAGTGCAGTGTGATGTTGAGTGTTCCTGTCTATTTGTAGCGGGGTGAGATTAACTAGTTAGTGAATGGTAAGTCGAGGTTCTTTCGATAAGGTCGTTTCCCATTTTTTTTCATATCACTTAGTTCGAAATGGCTTTGAATTCACTCCTTTGAATGACTTGGTCATTATCCGTCACAGTGTGGTGAGCGTCGTATGGGGTTTATACTCAAACGAAGAAAACCTATTGCTCTGTTGTATCACTGGGCGTCCTAAGCCCCGGGGCCCAAGATAAAGGACTGCATTACATGCAATCAATATCAACTAACCAGTGGTTATAGGCGAATTCACAGCAACAATGGAACACAACCGCTATTGACAGCAACCAGCTCCCGTAGTTTCCGTTCCGGAACGCACCATTATATAGTCTCATGGTTTTTCATTATAATTACCCTTGTCGCGTTGATAGGTTACTCCTGGTGTATGAGAAAACGGCCATGCACTGGTTGAGCATGTTGAGTGATACGCAGCCGCACTTCAAAGTAATTAGGGTCTTCATTTTTGAGACAAGGCATTGATGAGTCAAATCTGATGCAGTCAAATCACTGCATTGGCGGTGGTGGCCAAGTGGTTAGGTCACTAACTTATCACCTGGGAGTCCCGGGTTCGAACCGCTGCACCGCCGCCCGTCTTCCCAGGCAGCCTTTGTATGGCTGCAGTCCCCCTTCCTGAATGTTGACCGTACGTATGTATATTCAATAAATTAACAACAGAAAGTAAAAGTACAACATTACTATTATTATATCACAGTGACTTTTCAGAGATTTGGGAATAAGCGGGATTCGAGGGGTAGTCAGGGTACAAAGGACGTAGAAAAGGGTTATTTACGGGGCGCACAATTTGAGGATGTTAAGGGGAGTAAAACCCACTGGACCCCGGAAAATTGTATGCATCTAGCGTTGATGGTCTCTGAGAATAAGTAGGTGAAAGGATGGTCTGTGCTAAGGTCTGTGAAGGATAGGTCGAGGTTGACAACAAAGTCAAGCCAACAAGAGGTTTTCCGAGTGAGTCGCACACTGAGTTAATGCACGGAACTTCAGAGAGGGATCATAAATCGCACGATATTGCTTTCGTAAGGGGCCGTAACGTCCGACTTCCGGAAAGACCAGTTTTTAACTGCCGCTTTGTGCCGAATGAAGAATCCCTTAGCTCTCTATGTATTCTGTACAAATGTGACACGGTAAGAAATGTTGGTAAGAATAAAGTAATGGTAAGGAGTGCTTTCTTATTTCAAACTGTACTCCAGCGGATTGGGTTTGTTGATTCGGAAGAATGCAATTTACCGGGTTTGGTGAAATGTGAAATAAGTGACTGCATACTTCGCATCAACTCTTTAAATTATTCAGTATCCAACTTAGAAAATTCCACGGAGAGGCAATCGTCACTCA